GTCAGACAATGTGCAGCAAGGCTTATTTATATAATTTTTAATTTCCTGTATAACAATTGGATCAGAAAGACCAAATAATTCTTTTCTATTCAATTTGCTCAAAATACTCAACCTGTTCCAAACATCAGCTGGTGTACTTCCAATATGTGTACAAATTAATTTTCCACGAGAATATATGTCAATCTGACATTTTTCTGCATCAATAATTGATTGACATATCAAAGACCAGTTTCCCAAATATCTGTGATGAAAAGAAGATCGATAACCAGAACCTGCAAAATTCAACTCTTCCTGATCTGAGCTACCTATAGATGCTACAAAAACTGTAATACCATTAGTCACAATTTTAAAAGGAAAGAAAGACACATCTACCTGCAGTTGTTCAACCATTTTTTCATCATCAAAGCCCAAAACATTTGTACCAGAAGAACGTGCACCTCCTTTAAAATATTTTTTGTATGTTTCATTAACTAATTCACTTGCAGAGGCATAAATTTTCGAATCTACATCTGATTCACATACATAACCAGGTTTTAGGTTATTTTCTTTTGTATTGTGTACGATTACTCTAATTATAAATTCTTTATCACTTAATATGATTCTAATTCTCATATTTATACGTATTGGAAAACATATTTGTTTGTTATTATTTTTTGTGTTTAAAAAATGCCACCAACTTTCAGCAAAGGGGCCATAATGAAGATTATTATCAATTTCGCCAATTGCTAAAAGTTGTCTTTTAAATTTTAGTGTAGACATGAGGATTGGTGGTGTTGACACTGAGATTTTAAAAAATTCTAATTTTATTAATATTAATTAACACCAAAAATTTATAATAAAATGATCGACATTTCTCTGATTTATTCACGAATCATCAATTAAGCTAATCTTTTCTTTTAACTGTTGTTAGAAAGTTCTAGTCTGGCTCTAAAATTTTTATCATAGTTGAAAATTGCTTGCTATATGAAAAACAGAGATTTTTTTTTTTGGGATGATAATAATTTTATTCGTGTAACGTTTATATTGAATGACATTTGATTTGCAATGTCCTGCGACTAATAAGGTGCAATCTTTTCACCTTGTTCCTTTTTTAGAATACTTATTTTTGTCTAGAAATGATCCTAAACAAAAAAGCAAATACATTATCACATTGCATTGGTGATACAATTGTGATGTTAAACAAACATCTTGATCCTTGAAATCCTTGGTAACACCAATGTTCACTTTGTCTGGTTTTGTTGCAGTATGCCCCATTACATATTTAATATAATCAAAAAAAAATTTTTTTCAATTGTTTTGATAGGAAAATTTTTAATTTAAAAAAATGACAGAGCCATCAACAGAACCATCACGTGCATTTACAGAAACAACAATTTTGGTTCTTTTAATTTTCTTTATAGTTTTCCTTAGAGGATTAGCATCATATTTAAATAGTCAATCACAAGCAGTCTTATTGAGTACATCTAAAAATGTAGCCATCTTTGTGTTGGGAGATATCGGAAGATCCCCCAGAATGCAATATCATGCATTAAGCTTTGCACAAAATGGCTGGAATGTAGATTTCATAGGATACAATGGTTTTAATAGTGATCTTTATAACTATAATTATAATTTATTTTAATTAAAATTATTAATAATTGTTATTGTTCAATCAGGTGCAAGCCCACTTATTTCTATTACAGAGGATCCAAAGATTAAAATTCATTATTTAACACATCCATGGCACTTTCCTGATAAACTCCCAAAATTATTATTTTTTATCTATGCACCATTCAAAGTATATTTTCAAATTTTACTTGCATATTGGGTATTTCTTGTTAGAATAAAAAGACCCGACTTTGTGTTGGTTCAGGTAATGATTCTATTAAAGTTTCAATACTAAAAAAAAAAATAATATTAATTTTGTAGTTTTTAAAAAAATAAATTTTACCAATTTTTTAAATTCTCTCCCTTTTTTTATCTGATTTAGAATCCTCCTTCAATACCAACATTAATGATTATTCAATTTATCTGTTGGATAAGAAGCACAAATTTAATCATTGATTGGCATAACTTTGGTTTCACAATATTAGGTATAAGATTAGGTCAAAATAGTCGAATTGTAAAATTTGCAAAATGGTTTGTTTGATGTTAATTTGATGAATGATGGGTGTATTTATTTTTCATTAATAAAATTAATTATTTTAAACATATATAATTTTTATGGTTAATTTAGGTATGAACAATTTTATGGTCGGCGAGCATATGCACATTTGACTGTTACTGGAGCTTTACATCGTGAATTAATGTATAAATGGAATGTTGAGTAAGGCTTGTAATGAGTTTTTTTTTCTTTTTAATTATTATAAATGAATAATTTGATCAATAACACCTGACTTGAAAAAATATATATACACATACATACATACATATGATCTTTAAGAGGAAATATATCAACTTTATATGATCGTCCACCCTCACACTTTAAAAGATTAAGTCTTGATGAAATTCATGAGGTTTTTTATTTTTGTTTCCTAGAATTTTTTTGATAAATAAGATTAACTCAATTAACTCATACACTTTCATGTATATTTTTAATAAGTTTTTTACTAGATTTGATTTAGAAAAAATAATTTCTGAACAATCAATAGGTTCAGATTTTCTTCCACCATCATCCAGCAATTCAACATTTTTAACAATGAAAAACCTATCAACCAACCAAGTAACATTTCGCAATGATAGGCCAATATTGATTGTTAGTAGTACCAGCTGGACTGCTGATGAGGATTTTTCTATGTTATTAAAAGCTGCTCATATATATGATGAAACAGTTGAAAAAAGTAAACACCAATCTGAATCAAGCAGAGTATTTCCAAAATTGGTTTTTGTTATTACAGGAAAAGGGCCTTTAAAAGATAAATATGAAGAAGAAATAAGTAAAATGTTATCAAAAAATATAAGAATTGTTACTGCATGGTTGTCATTTGAAGACTATCCTATGTTACTAGGTAAATTGAAGGAATTAAACATGCATATATTATATGCGAAATCATTTTTTAATATTGTAACTTTTTTTTTGATACATGTGTATGCACACATATATATTATAGGAAGCGCTGACTTAGGAATATGTCTACATACTTCATCTTCTGGAATGGATTTACCAATGAAGGTGGTTGATATGTTTGGTTGTGGTTTGCCTGTATGTGCATTTGATTATAAATGGTAAATCTGCATTTATCAACAAACAATTATATTTATTTTGGCTTAATAATAATAAAAATCTGACATTTGTTATTAAATTAATAGTCTTGATGAGCTTGTAAGACATAATAGAAATGGGTTAGTATTTAAAAATGGAGAACAATTAGCTGAACAATTAATAGTAAGTAATTATTATTATTCTATGTATTTTTTATAAATCAAGGAATGGAATTAAATATAAAAATAATTTTAAATAGGACTTATTTACAAATTATCCCAACACTGAAATAAAGCTTGATGCTATGAGAAAAAATATCATTGAATTTCAAAAAGAAAGATGGGATGATAATTGGAAACGAGTTGTATTACCATTATTATCTAACAATATTTAATTGATATCATATCATATTTATATTCTTATTTGTCTGCATTTTAACAACAATCAAAAATAAAAAGATGATTATTGAAATTTTTATAAAATAGCATTTGCTGAACATAGATTTCATTAAAACCATCAATTATCTCATTTCCAGATGTCCAATTATCAAAAAGGTTCTTTAAGTGTAAACTAATACACTTTTCACAAAACCTATTAGAGTATTTTATTGCTTTGCACTTGTCACATTCTTTTGGTTCTCCTAATTTATATATTGCACTTTTTAATTCAAACTCATGAGTAAACCTTTCTCTACAATATTCTTTTTCATTTTCTAAAAGTTCTCTGACTTCATTGACTGATTGAAAAAAAAAATCTTTTTCTATTTTCTCTGGTAGGGATAGTTGAAAATGCAGAAAATGCATTACTATTTATTTCACTATAAATTTTAAATACTAATTTGCTTCTATCTAATGCTAATAAATTACCACCAAATCTAAAACTCCTATAAAATAATAAAAATAAATTTAAGTATATTATTATTTAATAAAATTAATTAAAAAAAAAAAATTTGCTCACCCAATCTGCATCAACATCTGATGCCCACTGGAATTTCTCCTGAAGGCTTTTGTTAAAAACCTTATGAATTGGTACATTATATTTTTTAGACCATGCAAATGAAATGCGTGGGTCTATATAATTGGTTTTTGATGTACCCAGTGCAATTTCAGTGGTTTTGATATGAGCCTTGCTGACAGAACGTTGATGGTTACATAAAATAGCAACTTGTCTGTTTGCTTCATTATATGCTACCATTTTCTCTGTTAGAGTAGTAGCATTCTCCATCCTTTTCTTTAGCTCAATTTGGAAGGTATGACATGCATTGTATGTACGAAATACTTTGGCGGTTAGTCCCTCCATGTATTCAGACAAATGTTTATTCAAATTTTGAGTCTAAATGAATTTTTAAAGAAAATTTGAATTTATTAATAGAACAAACACAAACACACACACATATATGTGATTGATTAAATTTAAATCTTACCCATAATCTGTCAAATAACGCTTCACCAGATTCCTTATCCTTCATAAATATTCTAAGGTTTTTGAAAACTTGCTCTATTACTTCTACTGAGTTTACGTATCTTATTGAATCTTTACCTAAAAAATCAAACTCAACTGTCCTTGGTGACACTAATGTAATATGTTCACATCTGAGGGAACAACAGCCCACAGTGTCTGCTTCTTCACCAGTTTTCTCATTTCCCGCTCTTAATGCAAGCCTGTCTATGAGATACATGGTGGTAGCACGTTGTCGGACTGAATTTAGCCTATCTTTTAAATCCTGTCTATAATCACACTGGATTTTTTCTATGTGCTTGTCGAGCTCCCTGGCCTTATCAAATTTTTCCAAATCGCTTTGACCTTTAAGTGAGCTATTGGCCGCTAAAATCACATATTTATTTTTGTTATTTACATTCTCCTTCCATTTGGCAAGCCAGGTAACTTTGTTATCATGCAGAATACTACCCCAGGAGTGACCAGCAGGTGGAGGAGGGACAGGTGCATCTTTACTGAGATTAATTGTTATTTGCTCAGGGGTGACTCTCAATTTCAACAAACCAGTTTTAGGATGTTCACCATGACCTCTAAACAAGCCAGGTGGCTCAATTCTAAAATTACTGACTTTTTCTTTACATCCATCCAAGTAACAATAACCATAAAACTCATCTATCCTGGTCTTTTCATCTTTCAACCTTTGTTTTTCCTCTTTTGAAAAATTCTTTTTTCGTTCCTCTTCTTCTTGTAAATAATTGTATATAGAAGTAAAATCACATTTTTCAAAATCCTCAATTTGTGGATTTTCTTCAGATTTTTTTAATACAACTTGCCAATCTTTAAAGAAGTTCTCATTGAAAATGTCATTCTTTACATAGTCTGTGTTTAACAATGCAGCATAAATTGTTGCTACTTCTTCAGCTTCAGGAGAGAGTTTTATTTCATCTCCTTTGAAAAAAAAATCAATAATGATTATTGTAAAAAGTTTAGAAACATAATTAAAAAATTATAACAACAATAATAATATTTTCAAATGCACATGCATTAAAAAATAAAATTAGATTATATAACGCCATACCATTATATTTCATTTTAATATTATGAGGAACGTACTCTGGAGGAAACCAGACTCCGTTATGGACTAAACTAGTCCATTTAGCCGGCCGAGGTTCCTCGATTCTTGTTTTTTTGGATGTTTGTCTAGTTTATTGGTTAAATGTATTAATGAAACTAGAATGACGCGTGTTTCAATATTGCACCACCACCATTCTTTTTAAATAACTAGAGTAACGACGAGTGGCGGGCGATAACCACCACCACCATCCTTAAAACACTTACTCAGGTTTCGTTGCTTCTGCAGAATTGTTTGCTTTGCTTCTTTTTCCAGTTGAATAAGACATTTTTATTAATCTTAAAAAAAGAAATTTGTTTAATTGATTGACGCGTACACACTAATTATGGTTTTTTTTTTGGTAGGACAGACGCGAATTGATTTTTTTCTTCTTGGAAAAACAATTTATTTTTTGACAGAGTCGAAGGTGACAAAACATGAGTGTTGTTGTTCAGTTCTCCTAAAGAAAAAGTGTTAATAACTAACCAGAGGTACTTTTTTTTACTTGTATTGATTGATATTTTTATTTTGGTTTATAAACATTTTAATTGGAAATCAAAACATGGAGTAGATCATTGCTGGGTAATTACAAGACTTTCATTGATAATATTATTATAAATATTATAATCACAAGATGTCAAGGCAGCACACCATTTAAAAAGAAACATTTCGATATGCAATATTTGATTCCAGGAAAATAGCAGGCGTTGAAGCACGCTACCTTGAACACTTTACAGTCATTCACACACATTCCTTGTGTACAAAAGGCTAAACCAACCTGCGATCCCCAAGGATACAATGATGCTGTTAAAGTCTAGGGGGGGGGGAGTATGGTCCTGGAGTTTATCGAGACTGCACCAATCGTCAATGACATTTTCACTAATCTTCCCAGACCAGAGAAAACTGCTGGCATGTTAGACAAAAAATTTACTGCAATGATCCTGCCTCTAGGGCAAGGATGGCTCTGTGTCAATGTCGCAACTCTGCTGATGAATATTAAGAGAATCTGCAGCTTGTTCAAGCACAGGAGGTTACAATTCAGAGCAAGGTTGGTGGCCCTGAAATTGCATTTGGGCTCTGATGTTAAGAGAAAAGTCGTAAAATAGTGTTTGTTTGTATAATCATTTTCCTAAATTCTCTGTTTTTCTGATACTAACCAATTTAATAATTTTGGGTAGGGGACTGGGATGGGTTTTTGCCAATCAGTTCCCTGTTTTGTGGATTATATTATTGCACAATTAAATACATCTTTGTCAGCAATATGGTCAACAAGAAAAAAGCCATAAAACAGTTGATTTTGGTATGTTATAAATT